GTTTTTTAATACAATTGACCCCTGTGACCTTGAATATAATTGAAGGTCATTCATTTGAACAAACTTGGTAGCCCTTCACCCAAGCATGCTACTGGCCAAATATCATCTCCCTGGGCATTTTGGTTATTGAGAAGAAGATGTTTAAAGTTTTTGACATATTTGACCCCTGTGACCTTGAAAATAGGTGAAGGTCATTTATTTGAACAAACTTTGTAGCCCTTCATCCAAGTTTGCTTCTGGCCAAATATTGACACCCTAGGCCTTTCGGTTATTAAGAAGAAGTCGTTTAAAGTAAAATATTGACGCCGGACGACGGACGGACGACGGACGGACGGAAGGACGGACGACGGACGTGCCAGGTGAGCTAAAAATAAATATGAAATATTTTATGGTACATGTATAAAAAAAAATATAGTAAAAAATACAAGGAAAATAAAAAACAAAATATTTCCATACCAACATAAGGTGACAATTCAACATATCAGAATTTTGGCTAATATTCTGTTAAAACATGTTTTCCAGAAATAAAGCTTGATGATTCCAATTCAAAAGTTTCTTCAATGAATGACAATGAAGTACAATTTAAATAAGTGACCAATAAAGTGTTTCATTACAAAAATTGTTCAAATATTTTACAATACACCTGTAAGTCATAGATAAAAAGAAAAAAGATGACCATCTGATAACTAAAGCTACTCTTAAACATGTTTGACTCTATGATATCAATACAAGTGAGCATGTCACCCATCCAGCCTGACCAAGCTTGACATTGCTGAAGAAGTGAGCATGTCACCCATCCAGCCTGAACAAGCTTGACAATGCTGAACAAGTGAGCATGTCACCCATCCAGCCAGACCAAGCTTGACATTGCTGAACAAGTGAGCCTGTCACCCATCCAGCCTGACCAAGCTTGACATTGCTGAACAATGGAGCATGTCACCCATCCAGCCTGACCAAGATTGACATTGCTGAACAAGTGAGCATGTCACCCATACAGCCTGACCAAGCTTGACATTGCTGAACAATGGAGCATGTCACCCATCCAGCCTGACCAAGATTGACATTGCTGAACAAGTGAGCATGTCACCCATCCAGCCCCTGACCAAGCTCAACATTGCTGAACAACTGAGCATCTCACCCATCCAGCCACTGACCAAGCTCAAGATTGCTGAACAACTGAGCATCTCACCCATCCAGCCTGACCAAGCTTAACATTGCTGAACAAGTGAGCATGTCCCCCATCCAGCCACTGACCAAGCTCAACATTGCTGAACAACTGAGCATGTCCCCCATCCAGCCACTGACCAAGCTCAACATTGTGAACAAGTGAGCATGTCACCCACCCAGCCACTGACCAAGCTCAACATTGCTGAACAAGGGAGCATCTCACCCATCCAGCCACTGACCAAGATGGACATCGCTGAACAAGTGAGCATCTCACCCATCCAGCCACTGACCAAGCTCAACATTGTGAACAAGTGAGCATGTCACCCATCCAGCCACTGACCAAGCTCAACATTGCTGAACAAGTGAGCATCTCACCCATCCAGCCTGACCAAGCTTGACATTGCTGAACAAGTGAGCATGTAACCCACCCAGCCTGACCAAGCTCAACACTGCTGAACAGGTAAGCATGTCACTGGATAAGCTAGCTTGTCAGTAAGGCAGTATTTTCACCTGTTATTCCTTGGCTGTTACACAGTGTAGCTCATCCTACCCTGGAATGTTGTTTAAATCAAACTTTAAGCAAACTATGAAGATATATGACCATTTAATCTCAAAATGTCTTAAAAATGCATGGATACATTTACCAGTGATACACCCTACCTATAACTAACATAATGTCACACACATTATATATCTGTAGGAGCAATTTGATAATGCCATTACCCTCTTGTTATTTGCTGTTATCAAGACTGTAGACAAGAAAACGATAACACTTCAAAGTCACACACAAAAATGACTGTACTACAGAAGTGCCACTTTTTACATTGAGTATTAAGCTCAACACTGAAGTTTGTTTTCCAGATCATCCATTTATTTCAGTTTTTCTTGCAAAGATAGCAGAACTCCATAGACTGACATCAGTAGAAAGAACTTATATATCAGACAAATTACATACCACCAAATATCATACTAACATATTTATCTGGAGTTCTTAAGGATGCCCGACTCGATTCCACAAACTTGTCCATTATATAGATGTTATCCTCAATCAGTATTGCACAGAGATTATCTAGCTGGGAGAGAATGATATTTCACTTCTGTCGTTTATAGATTTTACTGGCAAAGTCTGTAAACACCTCCTTAGGGAGCTGGCCCTGGAATGACTGGATGTCCTTAAGGAGCTGTCTGTAACTCTCCTCCTCATAGTCCCGGTATAACTGTTCCAAGTCTAAGTCTTTGTACACTGCCTTCACCTTCAACACTTTGTCTTCCTCTGGCTGTCCATAGTTCTCCTGGTCACGAGTCCAACAATACAAATAATTTATACAATTACTCCATGAATATACTTAGGTATAAGTAAGATAAGTTTTCTCCATTTTTCTGTTTCAATTTTGTAAGTGTGCACTTTTGGTAAACTGGTGTTTCCACAAACTTAACAATATGATATAGTAATTAAAAAACCTAGAAAAGACAATGCTGACACCTATCAAAGATAGGTTGTTGTGTAAGTGCAGATGATTTAATTTGTAAGATTTTTCCATTGAGTATGTACATATTTACCTGTAAAATCGGTCTTTATTTCTTCACTGTAATCAAATGTAATATCTGTGCAGGTATGTATCTTACCTGTAAGTAATCTCATTATTGAGTAGGTATGTATGTATCTTACCTGTAAGATCTGTCGTTACTCTGTAGGTATGTATCTTACCTATAAAATCTGTCATTACTGTGTAGGTATGTATCTTACCTGTAAGTAATGTCATTCCTGTGTAGGTATGTATTTTACCTGTATGTAATGTCATTATTGTGTAGGTATGTATCTTTCCTATAAGTAATGTCATTATTGTGTAGGCATGTATCTTACCTGTAAGTAATGTCATTGCTGTGTAGGTATGTATTTTACCTGTAAGTTATGTCATTATTGTGTAGGTATGTATCTTGCCTATAAGTAATGTCATTATTGTGTAGGCATGTATCTTACCTGTAAGTAATGTCATTGCTGTGTAGGTATGTATTTTACCTGTATGTAATGTCATTATTGTGTAGGTATGTATCTTACCTATAAGTAATCTCATTATTGTGTAGGTATGTATGTATCTTAACTGTAAGATCTGTCGTTACTCTGTAGGTATGTATCTTACCTATAAAATCTGTCATTACTGTGTAGGTATGTATCTTACCTGTAAGTAATGTCATTACTGTGTAGGTATGTATTTTACCTGTAAGTAATGTCATTATTGTGTAGGTATGTATCTTACCTATAAGTAATGTCATTATTGTGTAGGTATGTATCTTTCCTATAAGTAATGTCATTATTGTGTAGGTATGTATCTTACCTGTAAGTTTTGTCATTTCTGTGTAGGTATGTATCTTACCTGTAAGTAATATCATTACTGTGTAGGTATGTATCTTACCTTTAAGTAATTTCATTATTGTGTAGGTATGTATCTTACCTATAAGTAATGTCATTACTGTGTAGGTATATATCTTACCTGTAAGTTCTGTCATTACTGTGTAGGGATGTATCTTACCTGTTAGATCTGTCGTTGCTCTGTAGGTATGTATCTTACCTGCAAGTTCTGTCATTTCTGTGTAGGTATGTATCTTACCTGTAAGTAATGTCTTTACTGTGTAGGTATGTATCTTACCTGTTAGTAATGTCATTACTGTGTAGGTATGTATTTTACCTGTAAGTAATGGCACTATTGTGTAGGTATGTATCTTACCTATAAGTAATGTCATTATTGTGTAGGTATGTATCTTACCTGTTAGAGCTGTCGTTGCTCTGTAGGTATGTATCTTTCCTGTAAGTTCTGTCATTTCTGTGTAGGTATATATCTTACCTGTAAGTTCTGTCATTACTGTGTAGGTATGTATCTTACCTGTTAGATCTGTCGTTGCTCTGTAGGTATGTATCTTACCTGTAAGTTCTGTCATTTCTGTGTAGGTATATATCTTACCTGTAAGTTCTGTCATTACTGTGTAGGTATGTATCTTACCTGTAAGATCTGTCGTTGCTCTGGTGCAACCTTGGCAAGAGCCTGTACAATTAACCAGCTACATTTGTTGTCCTGGATATCAGTCCCAATTTTACCTATGACCTCTGGATCACCATAACAATCCAGGTAGTCATCCTGTAACACATAAATCAGGGCCATCTTACCTGTCAATGTGTGACTGTTACATATCACTATAGAACTGTACAGTTTTTGTGTTTCACACGCTCTGCTTGTATATAACTTTAAGCGAGAGTCACGCGGGAGCAAAGGACAATAACATCGATGACAACACAAAGTTATTACATAAACTTCATGGTATTGGATCAGTTAACAAACACACAAACTGCAGCTCGCGGTGAGTACCCTAAACCCAGGAACAAGTTTATATATAGACACTGTTCCTCTGATGTGTTAGTATGACGCTATGTAATGCTGTGTAGATAAACAGCAATGTTTGTTTACCTTTGTATATAGGTGACGTCGTGTGATGTGTGTACGCACGTCGAGATGCGTGGTATCATTGTTTATATTTAGAAATTCATATAAATAGAGTGTTAGGTGTAAGTATTTGTTCCTGCTCCACATAAGATTGTCATATATCAGTCATATGTATCATAAAGTAAGGGTCAGGCTGCATATATTGCTGTATATGGCTGGTATTGTACGGTAACAGTATAAACGCCTGACTCATTGATGGCAGTGATTACTGTGAACCCCTCTCACGGTCAGATGGCAGTGATTACTGTGAACCCCTCTCACGGTCAGATGGCGGTGATTACTGTGAACCCCTCTCACAGTCAGATGGTGGTGATTACTGTGAACCCCTCTCACAGTCAGATGGCGGTGATTACTGTGTGTTATGGCAGAGGTGTATACACTAGATACTTCTCACAGTCAGATGGTGGTGATTACTGTGAACCCCTCTCACAGTCAGATGGTGGTGATTACTGTGAACCCCTCTCACAGTCAGATGG